CCTCGGGCCCTGACTGGTTCTGAACAAGAGAATTTTCTGGACCACGGGAGATCAGTATTATCTAGCTGTATTATCCAAACTACCACTGCTGACAGGACTGTTAGAGGATATTTAGGGGCAAATTAGAGCTAAGTAACAGCGCAGAACACTGAGAACGAGGACTGATGATTGTAACCAAACTTTATGGGACCACGAGAAACTTGGACACACCCATGAAAATGGACATCCAGCTAACTAAAATCATTCTGGACCATGGATGTTTCTGGACCAGAAGGTTTTGGACTAGAGAGGTTAAAACTGTATTTGTAAAACATGTTGTTGTACATATCCATAATCAATGCATACTATTCCCCACAGCTACATACTACACATATATTCAGACTGCAAAAGAAAGGCAGCATGGCCTAGTGGTTTAAGCAAGGAGCTGTAAACCTAGGCAGATCTCAGACTGAAACCAGGCTCAGATACTCTCTTAGCAAGCCCCCCCAAGGCCCACCTGTTCATGTAGCAACTGATTTGGGATTCCACTGTTGTTGGGAGCCTGGCTTCCAGCCTGAAATTTGGGACTGAAAAACAGACTGAAAGTCAGCCTCCCTGTCCCTCAATTTCCCCTCTATAAAATGGGGAGGGTGCTGCAAAGACTGATTGATAAACCTGGGCTTTTAGAGAAGAGATGATGGGATCTTCAGAAATACCTAAAATAGACCAGCTAGTTTGCAAAGTTCCTTAGAGAGGCAAAACATTTTAAGCAAGGTTATGCATTATAATTAAAAGCCACAGCGTGATGTTCTATTTCGAATAGTTTTAATTATATTTAAGCAAGGAAGCCAAGAGCCCACGGAGAAGGGGAAAACTGTGAGAAAGGGACCGCGTAGACAAGCAGATGATGCAAACTCAAGGCCTACAGAAATAGGCTAGTAATGATTTAAATATCACAATGAGGGTCAGATACGTCCCTAGACTGATAGATGGAAAGGTATGGCCATTGACAATTGAGTAGACGAGAATGGATGGCAAGAGCGATCAGAAAGCTGATGCAGCTAATGAACACACAATTCCAACCCCACTCTCTCTGCAGATGTTTGCCAAGTTACCTCCCTACCCATGAGCAATTTTCTCCATGCCTCTTCAGGCATTTTGGCCTCATCTCAGATGGACGATGGGAAAAAACCCCACCACCACAAAATAGACCCACTCTGTGTATCTGTTGCAATAAACCAAAGTAAAACAAGTCTCTTCCAGCGTAGCAGCACAAGAGCGTGAAATCGAGATTAGCGCTGAAGAGATTCATTTCCTTGCTTTTCCCGCTGCCTCGGCCGTAAACACGTGCTGTAAAATTCCACCAGCGGAACGGCCTCCCCTTGTCTGCTCGGTTGGCTTTGCATGAATCAGCGTGCGCGCGGCGTGGGTCTCGGAGCTATGCGCTTGCTCGCTCTCTCTCTCAGCCCGTCACGGTCAGAACTCGCCCGACTTGCGGAAGAAATCCAGAGCAGAGCTGGAGGAGTAACAAAGCACACGCGTAGCCAAGAGGAGCCTTCATAATGATGATCGAAAAAATACTGCAAAATCCACGATCGAAATGATCCAACAGGCAACTTCCAACCAGCTCTAAAAAACCAGATTTGCTAAATTGTGGTGCTTTAAGTCCATGGTGGGCAACCTGCAGCCCTCAGGCCACATGCAGCCCATCAGATTTCTATGTGTGGCCCGCGAGACATTTGGTTTACTGTGGCTCACACGCAGAGTTACCAGATTCCACTATTTTCCATCTGCATCATTTTTTCCCCCCGATGACATTACTAAAGTGACACACACAAAGCCAGGGCACGTGAAGGGAGGTGGATGCTGATTACACACAACAGTGACTGTGAGAGCCGTGCGCTCCCTGTGTCAAATCACAGTGCCACGGTTCAATTGGCAAAGCCTGCAAATTCTAGGTACGCAGGTGCAGTGAGCAAAACAACCCTAGACTGGGAGACCATCCTGGTTACAACAATCTTGAGGCCTGCTGAGATGAAGAAGGGCCACTCACGTGTCCCACCGACAAACCTAGACTGCTCATCGCCGCTTTAAGTTTATCTCCTGACTGGCTGTACCCAGAGTAGGGGGGTTTCATTACTTTGCGGGAAAGGATACTATGGGAACCAGTGGGCTTCTGCAGCTACAGCACTGGACTCAGACTCAGGAGACCTGGTTTCTCAGGTCCGCCACTGGCCAGGCAGGGTGACCTTGGACAATCACTTTGCCTTGATTTCCCCTTCTGTAAGATGGAGGTCATAACACTGATCTCCTTCAGAAAGCTCTTTGGCACCTACTGGTGTGGAGTGTTCTATACTCTCTAGGGATGTGAACGACTATCCGATAAGCAAACGCAGCACCGCATAGAGTCTGGGGTCAGCTGGGGACTCCCCTGCTGCTCCCGTGCTTCCTGCAACGTTTTCGCCTTTGAAGTGTAGCAATCCCAGGGCAGTTGCGACACTTCGAAGGCAGAGGCGCCCTTACTGGCTAATCGAATAGGCAATGAAAATGGCATCGACTATTCAATTAGCTAAATAATTGAAATTTTACATCCCTAATGTGTGCTAGGGATTACTAGGAAGAGGGAAGTTCTGGGCCAGTTCCTAGATTTACTCGACCAATGCACCTTTAGAAGCCTAGTACACGGCTTTGTCCACTGATGTCTGCAGGGGCATAGTCACCCGAGCGTATATAGGAAATGCTGCTACCAGCAATTGGGTGCCATTTACTCAGCCTGTAAAGCAGCTGCAAATATAGAATAATAGAATCCTAGAGCTGGAAGAGACCTCAGGAGTCATCAAGTCCAGCCCCCTGCCCAAAGCAGGACCAATCCCAACTCAATCAACCCAGCCAGGGCTTTGTCAAGCCAGGACTTAAACACCTCTAGGGATGGAGATTCCATCCCCTCCCTAGGGAACCCATCCCAGTGCTTCACCACCCTCCTAGTTAAACAGTTTTTCCCTAATATCCAACCCAGACCTCCCCCGCTGTAACTTGAGCCTGTTGCTGCTTGTTCTGCCATCCGTCGCCACTGAGAACAGCTTCTCTCCATCCTCTTTGGATCCTCCCTCCAGGTGGTTGAAGGCTGCTATCAAATCCCCCCTCACTCTTCTCTTCTGCAGACTAAACAAACCCAAATCCCTCAGCCTCTCCTCGCAGGTCATGTGCTCCAGCCCCCTAATCATTTTGCAAAAGCGGCGAGGAGTCCTGTGGCACCTTATAGACTAACTGACGTGTAGGAGCATAAGCTTTAGTGGGCAAAGACCCACTTCGTCAGACATGCATGTGACGAAGTGGGTCTTTGCCCACGAAAGCTTATGCATCTGACGAAGTGGGTCTTTGCCCACAAAAGCTTATGCTCCAACACTTCAGTTAGTCTCTAAGGTGCCACAGGACTCCTCGCCGCTTTTGCAGATTCAGACTAACACGGCTACTCCTCTGATACTAATCATTTTGGTCACCCTCCACTGGACCCTCTCCAATGCGTTCACATCCCTTCTATAGCGGGGGCCCCAGAACTGGACACAATACTCCAGATGCGGCCTCACCAGAGCCGAATAAAGGGGAATAATCACTTCTCTAGATCTGCTGGCAATGCTCCTCCTAATGCACCCTATCATGCCATTAGCCTTCTTGGCTACAAGGACACACTGTTGACTCATATCCAGCTTCTCATCCACTGGAATCCCCAGGCCCTTTTCTGCAGAACTACTACTTAGCCAGTTGTTCCCCAGCCTTATATGCACCGGTCCGGCTAAACCAGCAGTGTAGAGAAGAGCTAAGGGTCCGTCCACACCTGAGCTGAAGCTGGCATCTCCTACTGTGGCTGACGGAGCTGGCATGCTAAGAATGGAAGAGTAACCCAGTAGCACAAGCGGCAGGAGCTAGTGGAGTGAATACTATGTAGGCTCTGGCCAGGGTGTCCTCACGGTGGTCTGTCAACCTGCACCGGGAATTATACTTCCCACTGTACCGATGGTGGGAGAGTTAGTCATTCTTCGTACGAGGGCAGCCTCTGAAAGGCCCAGCTGAGAACGGGCCTGCACTGTGCTAGGTGGTGTGCATATGTAGTAAGAGCGGGAGATACACAGGGCGTGAAACCAATGGGAGTTAGGCACCCAAATACCTTTCTGAGCCCCACCCTTGCAGCTCAACTAGACCAGGGATGGGAGGGGGAACAGGGGTAGGAAGCGACTTGCTCAAGGCCACACGACAGGTCGGTGTCCGCACAAGGCGCAGAACGCAGCTCTCCAGGTGGTGTGCATATGTAGTAAGAGCGGGAGATACACAGGGCGTGAAACCAATGGGAGTTAGGCACCCAAATACCTTTCTGAGCCCCACCCTTGCAGCTCAACTAGACCAGGGATGGGAGGGGGAACAGGGGTAGGAAGCGACTTGCTCAAGGCCACACGACAGGTCGGTGTCCGCACAAGGCGCAGAACGCAGCTCTCCATCCTGTCTCATTGATTTACCTTTTCCCCCACTTGGCCGTTATCATTTCTGAAGGAAACAGACTGCTGAAGGAAAAAGGCAGCACTCGGCATGGGCCGCTTGCCTGCGCGTGCAGAGACCCAGCCCGCAGCTCCCCTTCCAGTTTACAAACCATCCGCGACGGCCATTCCAGCCACTTCTGATCAACCTGGCCTATCGGGGCTCCGTCCCGAGCAGCAGCACAATGCCAGGACGAAACAGCGAACGCATTCGAGGCTTAT